GTGTGTGTGTGTGTGTGTGTGTGTGTGTGTTAATGTACCATCAATGGAGAAAAAGACAATTGCAGTTTCATATATGGGACCTGAACTTCAACTCACAGGAGTGATTTCCAGACATGATCTATTTCAAATAAGCATGAGTTTATTGTGTGAGTAACATTACATAACAGGATTTAGGTAGTAACTACAGATCTACTCAATTACTTGGCCAGTGGATGAACTAATACATTTATCGATTTTTTTAATTGATGTTGATATTCCCTGGCAATGTCATTGTCTTAGCTTGAATTTCTCAGCAACAGACCCTGAGATCATGATTTGAATGCAACTTATTTTTGGAGGATTCATCCCTAAAAACACTAGAAGGGCAGTATTGAAAGGAGACATGAATGGCAAAGAAGGGAATATACATGCTGCTAATGATCAGGTTTCCACAGTTGGGTGGAGCACTCCTGCTGGGCACCTTGAGAAATAATGTGGAACATGCCTTGACTTGTACCACGTGAAGGGCAGAATTTGCTCTGTTGTTGAACAAGTGCTGCTCAGGGGAACATTAACTTCCTAGTAATTTCTTTTTTTGTCTGCCCTGCCTATTAACCAAGCAAGTTCTTTTGGCTGGAGAAAACCACTGGGCTCAGGTGCTAGCTCTCAGAAGCGTAGGCATGAATGGTGGAGGGACAGAACAAGTGGATGGCAGAGGTCGTTGTTGTGGCAGCCAGATAGTATAAAACGAGCTTAAATCATATTGTATTCTAAACAAGAAGCTCTCTACAGATTTGAGATATTACTTGAGAAAATGATTTTAAATGGCTACCTGCCATTTTATTTTATTGCAATACCAAAATTGACTAATTGATTCTGTTTCTAAATTTTCCCTAGCCCTTAAAATGCACAACTGTGCCGGGCGCTGGTGGCTCGCGCCTTTAATCCTAGCTACTCAGGAGGCTGAGATCTGAGGATCACGGTTCAAAGCTAGCCCAGGCAGGAAGGTCTGTGAGACTCTAATCTCTAATAAACCACTCAGAAAACCAGAAGTGGCACTGTGGCTCAAGTGGTAGATCATTAGCCTTGAGCTGAAGAGCTAAGGGACAGCACCCAAGCCAGAGTTCAAGGCCCAGGACCGATTTAAAAAAAAAAAAAAAAGCTCAACTGTGACCTCCTCTATCATTAGCCATGTATTAGTAAAGCACTGACAATCCTAAAATCAGCTTTCTACAAATATATTAAGTACTTTAAACTGAGAAATGCTACCTTAACATGTCAGTGTATAAAAGAAGTATTGAAACCATTGGGTCCAGATCAACTCTCTTTTCAATTATCAAGCAAGTTTTATACCAAGCTAGCACATTGCAGTAGATAAGTAAGAGAGTTTAATACCACTTACCCAGTTTAATCACAAATCCAAAGGAAGGTCACATGATAAATACTTTATTTCTATATGGCAATGGTATAGTGCTGTGTGGTAATTCTTTCTGATCTGAGTAAAAATTATGCACATGTGGTGTAAAGGAGATACACATTCTGTTGTACTTATTAGAAGTAGCACTAGAAGATAGCACTATGCTAGCTAGAATTTTCTGGTTGACATAATCTTATATATTGATGCATCTGTATGATGAGCAGTTAAGTTGCTGCCTTTAATTAATTAATTAAATAACTACTTTTGTTCCTATGCCTTGGAATTTGAGTTTGCAATAAACTGAATAGTTAAAAACCCTCGAAAGCACTTAATTTATTTCTAGAATCATACTGGAATCATTGTCATTGGCTTGCAGAGTTTTAGGAGAAAGTAACGTGATTGTTTTGTTCTTGTGCCGCTACTCGGGCTTTGACTCAGGACCTTAAGATCCAGCTCAGCTTCCTTGTTCCTAGCCATCACTCTGCCACTTGAACCATGCCTCCAGTTCTAAGTTTGTGGCAGTTAATTGGATATGAGTCACATGGATTTCTTGGCCTGGGTTGGCTTCAAACCATGATCCCCAGAACTCGGCCTCCTGAGTAGCTAGTATTATAGGTGCGCCACCAATGCCTGGCTGAAAATAACTTTGTCCAGAGTTATAGCACAAGCCTCTTGCTCACTCAAATATCACAGTGTTCTTTTGGAAGGAGGGAAGCAAAGCCTGACTCTTTAACTCTGCACATTAAATGCTGCTCAGTGACAAAGGGTCTCTCTTTCTTTCTGTTTCCTAAAACAGTGGGTTTTAAAATTGCTCCTAGGAGAGCTAGGGTTAAGGGAGGTCTTGCAGAAACGACTTTACCAGTAGAAGATGAGCCAGATATGTGGCAGGAGAAAAGCTAACAGGAGCAAGCTGTATGCTCTAAGCTGCCCCCCTCCCCTGCTTCACTGTTCCCAGTGACTCATACTGGCTTTATATATGGAGCTCCTGAGCAAGACTGTTTGAGAGAAAAGCTCTGCTACTTCAGAAACAATGGTTGAGCGTCTTTGTGTCAGGACCTGCGTAAAAACCTTTCAAATGAGGGGCTTCTATTCTTACAGTGGCAGCAAATATTTTTATCTGATCTCTCCAGTTCTAGGTCAACTATAGGACTTTTTACAGTCTTAGGAAGAAAGCACAGTGCTGAACACTGCTGGAGGAGTCACCTCAATTCGTACTCTTAGATTGTATGAAATTAAATATCACTCTGATGTCTATGTCCACTCCGGCTCAGGCACCAGTTCCTAATTCAATAGTTCCTAATCCAATAGGTGTCTTGATTATTCTATTCTAGTTTGTGGGAAAGACCAGTAGCCTTGTGCTCTAATAATGCACTGTTTTTTTTTAATTAAAGATAAATTTATTATTGGTAGCTACCTTTTTGATTTAGTCAGGCTTTTGGAGAATAACACAGTAAGAGAAAAATACTAAAAAAAATTTTTAACAACAATCACATGAAAATGACTGATTCTTTCCATTTTTTCCTATATAAGGAAAATTAAAATTTTAGGATCTTAAACAACTCTGAGAACATACTAAAAACTAGTGAATTACATACTCTAAAGTGTGAGTTATATATAGCAAATGAATTCTGGCACAATAAAATGACTTTTAAAAAACTGGACATGGTGCCATATGTATGCAGGAAACTGAGGCAGGTGGATCATGAGTTTGGATCATGGATCTTTCTCTGGGCTACAGAGAAAGACTTTGTCTCAAATGAATAAATTAATTACATTTAATTTTTTAATGTACTTGCCATCTTAGATTTATAATTAACACCCCTCCAAATTATAAAATACAGCAAAATATTGTTGCATTTATCATGTAAATACATAGAGATACAGATATTTACACACACAGATATATCTACACTAATTTCCACTTTAGTGCAATTAGCACATAATAATGCACTGTTTTGTGACCTGTTGCTCTTCAAATTGCCAAGGACTGTCCTTGGAGTTTCTCGATTCTACTCTCTTCGGTGAACAAATTACTGTAAAAGCAATGCAGGCATTATGATTTCATGACTAATGTTACTAAGCATTCTGGCCCTGTTGTCTGGACACTGGCAGTTCTTAGCACCAATGCTACTTCATACATAGGACCAGTGAGTAGATGTCAGCTTGTCCATTCTTTAGAAGCCAGGGTTTATCCACAGTATTCAGAAATGCTAAAAACATCCACACCCATTTCCATCAACACAGTGAAGCCAGATTCCAGGATGTTGTTCTTAATACTTTTGAGCTTTGTATTCCCCCCTCCTTTCTTTCTCTCTCCCTCCCCCCCTCTCTCTTTCTTCTAGTTTGGGGACTTCTTGAGCAAGGGTGTTTACATGTTGTCAGTGCTAATATTCAAAACCCCTTCAGAATGTTAGCGTAACTGCCTCTTTGCTGCAATTTTTGCCACCTATGAATGGGGGCACTTGTGGTTTAGATTAGGAAACACCCACTAGACCAATATGTTGACGGTTTCCATGATACACAAATCCTCTGAGACATTCAGTGAAAAGAGTTCCCGTGGACAAATATATTGGGAAATCTTTGTCTCCCTTGGTGATTGGAACTGCACATTAAAAAACGCTAAGAAGTATTTCTTGAATGTATTTAATTATATTTTCAAAGTCTTCTAGCTTCTCTTCCTTTTTCTCTCCTTCCCTTCCTTCTTTTTTTTTCTCCTTTCTCCCTCCCATTATTGCTAGTAAGAGTTGGTAGGTGTTTTAGGAAATCATTGTACTTACTGGTTTAAAGACAAGTTTGCAGGGGCTGATTTTTTCCTTTCTCTGCAGTCATAGGCCCAAGCCGTGTCAGGGATAAAGGGTAGTAAAGAGGGAAGCAGGCTAGTAAGTTACCAAAAATGATTTTTTCTTTTTGAATCACACTAGCTATTTGACAAGAATTATTTGGGAATTTAAAAGAACCCATTTTAATGTTGAGTTCAGTTAATCTATGTCAGGTTTATGGTTGAGATCACAGAGAAAAGCCTTGTGAGCACTTAGTCATCATTTTATAGACATGGGGCACAGAAACAGATCAATGCATTATATTTCTTACTGCATTGACAAAGAGATTGGAGGAGTCCTTTCTAGTAAATTTAGGATAGCATTAGAGACATAAGATGAGCTCTTTATTTAAGCTAAGTGGGCTCAAACTGCAACTCTGGCTGGGTGGGGAAAGGTGGATAAAGTATTGGCATCTAAGTTTTCTCATTTATACATGTCAATGGTTATAGCACTCTGTCTCAAATGATTATTGCACTCATTTAGATTGAACAGGTAAACAGCTAAGTATAATAAAAGGCAGGACACATGGAGATATTAGGGGTTGATATTATTAAGCACACTATCAGCCAGAATTGTATAGTCAGTATAAAATCACAGATGACCCACAAATCTAGAGAGATTCTGAGGTTGCAGTAAAGGCATGGGAAGGAAGGAAGTCCCTAACGGTAATCTCTGTTGACTGTCTCTATTATGGGTGATAGTTTAGAGGCTGTTTTTGTTTGTTGTTTTGGAGGAGAGGGGATTCTCCTGGAGTGAGCAAAGGAAGACAGAGGGCCAGTTCCTACCTGAATGGGTAGGCGAATGCGATGTCGATGCTGAGGTTACTTTCTGTCTTGTTGACACAGTCCACACTCAGCCGCAGGCCTCCAGAATAGCCACCGCATGTTGCAAATGCAAAGATGGCAAAAAGCTGTAGAGAGCAGAGAAAGCAAAGGGAAGACAGTGGTTAGGGTAAAGTTCCTCTGTGAGATCTCTAACTTGGAATGGAATGCCTGGGTTGCAGAAGGTGCAGACTTTCTGAAGGTGAGTTATCATCTTTGTTTCAGGCTGGACGATGAAAGTTAGGAGGATAGATGGGTGGGGACTAAAAGTCTAAAGCACATTCCGGAGAGCGAGAGAACTAGTTCTTGGAGAATCTCTCAAGACACTGACAAAATGATTATGTTTGAGTATGTCATCTCACATGCTTTGAAAGGTAGAGATGTCAGCCCTTACAGACCTGGACACCAAATGCACCAATGAATTACTCACGGATCTCTCCAAGTAGGATGGATTTAAGGTGTTTCCTTGTGTGTGTGTGTGTGTGTGTGTGTGTGTGTGTGTGTGTGTGTTTTACCTTATTGCATGGCGGTCTATTTTGCAATGAATGTGATCTATCTTTGGAAATAGTATAGACTGTTTTTTTTCTAGTAAGCATGGCTACTGAATTCTAGAGTTAAAGCATTGAAGAAGTGTTGGTATCTAGGAAGTTTTACTTCAGAGCACAAGATCTCAGTCTAGTTCAGCCTTACTCTTAGAGGTGATGATCTCTCATTTTAGTTGCTGTTTACAAGTCAACTATTAAAAGCTTTTGTGCCTGTCAGTTAATGGCATTCTTGATTCTGGGGGAAAACATAAATCTCTGGGGAGGTAGGCACCAAAACCTAGTTGCAGAAAACTCCAAGGAGATTTATAGGAAAAAAAATAGATGCCAGGAAGGTCTACTTCATAGTTCAGCTAGAGAATTTCTTGCTTATCGCTATAGAAATTTGACCAAATGTATGTAACTCTAACACATACTGTAATATTCAAACTTATAATTTTGGAGTCACTATTAGGTCTCTCCCTACACAGTGAGAGGAGTTATTTGTTCTGTAGGGGTCAAGTCCATGCGTGGGCTCTGATATATGTCCTTGGGAACATTGTTTAGTGTCCCCAAGCACTTGTTTTCCTTATCAACAAAATAACATGGCAATAACTCTTGTGGGCTGTTTTGCTGTTTGTGACAAACCATGACTGTGGGGCAGAAGGCTTCTGGCACTGACAAGATCACCTGTCCAGACAGTTCAGCGGTGAAAGGAATATTTTCTGTAACACCTGCTGTCTCAGCCAGTGTAAAAAAAACACACACACAAGACACCCCAAGTTTTAGTTTTCTTAATCGACTACTAAACATCAGTGATAAAAGACTGGCTAACAAGGACTGAATCATAAAATCTTTGTGGTCCTGTGGTATATATGTGTGGCACTTTTATTCATTTTAAAAACCAGCATTTTTTTTAAATAGAAGCAAGCCAGCCAAGCAATATATTTGATATAGAAAGAGCAAAATGTATTGAGGTGTGTTAGCAAGGGAGACCCAGTGTAAATACTCAATAAATGCTAACATCGTGGGTGCTTTTTTGATCAGATGTCCCAGGCTGACAAGTAAGAACTACAGACTTAATTCTGAACTAAATCTCAATGACTTTTAGTCTCAGTGAAACAACATCTAAGTAGTCAGAAATTAAAAAAACAAAAAAAACACCAAACCTGACTGTTCTCTGCTTTTCTTCCTCGTTGGCCTGATTGATGGAGCTGACAGCTGTGAAAAGCTACTTAGCAACTAACTCTCTCTTCTCTACCCCCAATCAGGAAGAGGCACACAATGCAGGGCTGAAGGCTGTGGTGTGGATTTAGTTACTTCTTGTGGCTTAAATATTCTCTTCCTGTCAGGCCTTAATATCCACAAGATTAAAAAGGAAATGATTCAAATTGTTTAATGATTAGTGATTTGAATTGTTCGATGTTCAAGTGCACATCTCACTGCATAATATTGGATATCCTAACTCCTGCCCTTCTTTCATGTCAAGATAAGATTTCGATAAGCCTTCTACAAGAAAGAATAGTAATGGCATTCAAAGCCCCAATAGACAGCCCTTTGGTTCTCCAAGTTTCTTCATCTGTAAACCACGTAACACATATGATCTCATCTTCTTGTGACAGTAGTGGTATAAGGGCATGTATGTTTGTGAAATGTTATATTTTTATATTAAAAATATGGTAGGATAGCACAACCACCTCCAAATAGTTGCATTAAAAATGAAACTACTGCATGTCCTTAGCACACTAAAATGTAGCAAGTTAAAGTATACGGCATAAAACTCAATCTGTTAATTTCAGTGCTTAACAGCTATAAAATGGCTTTTCATTTTATAATCACAGTGCTTTTAATGCAGTAAGGCATTAAGAATACCACCATTAATAAACTTCAGATAGAATGATAGTAATGTATTTAATTCAAATGTTAGATTTGTGGAAGGAGGAGTTTGCCTATAGAAACCATACATATTGTTTCTCCTTTTAGCCTTTACTGAGCTCTGAAAGCATAAGACATTGTACCTCAGTTGACAAAAATATATCTGTAGCTTTCTGGTGTTTTTTTTTTTTTTTTCCTGCATGGTTCTCACTGATTAAAGGGAACTCATACTGTGTGAGAGATATCAAATTCACATGGGTTTGGTGAGGACTTAAACAGATAATGTCTGTAGAAAACTGGAAGAATGGGATCCTGCTGAGTGAATAACATATTACAGGGACAGTTAACTTCATGTTTGGGAGAGTTAATTCAACCCCTTCAGTGTGTATCCGCCAGGGGCCTGGTTCTATAATTGGAATACATCAAGACACAGTGGGAAGAGGGGACTGTAGGCTCTTGGCAGGTAGGGTGGACAGGGGACATTCTTTCTGGTGATGTGGAGAAATGGTGAGTAGGAGGAAATTGTGGAAATCCCCTACTTCCAGTGTACAGCCCGACCATTTCACCTGAGGTGGTAAAACAGAACTGTAGGTCTCAATGCCTAGCTGTGTGACACTGGAAAAGTAATTCAACTTCTCCAAAGCTCACCTCCCATATCTCCTCAGTTCAGGCTCACTGATGGATTCATTTATACTAGTTGTTTAAGGGAATACTTCCTTGATCCAGTTTTGGGGGTACAGAAAGGTAAACATGCCAAAGAAAAGACAAACTTGAAAAGGTCACTCTCTGGCTATCATGGAGCTTAATCCTGGAGTAGGGTGGACCAAAAAGAATCTACACATAAAGTAATTACAAATGACATCAGATGTTTGGGAGCAAGGCTGTCCTAGACCGGAAGTTAAAGCTGTGGGTGGTCAATGGAAGAGCAAGTGGCAGTTTAATGGTGAAAGAGCTTGAGAGAAATAGTACTTAACTTACATGATGGCTGTCCATCTAGCTCAGAGAACACATGTAAAGTATCTGGCTCATAGCCCTCAAAAAACATTCAAACATTTTCTTGTTCATTTTTTTTCCTTCTTCTTATATTATGATTACTCCAACTATTGCTGTTAATACTACATTGTTGGACAAGCTGTAGCTAGAAAGAAAAATCATTTGCCCCAACTCGGCCTGCCAATAGCAGAGTTGGGACAAGGTCTCTAGATTTCTTGACAGGGTGCTTCAATTAGCTCTACAATCACAGGAACTCCCCCCTCTCACCCCATATGAGTAGAGTTGATTATCCAATGCTCTAATCAATTTCTTTGTTTTGTTTTCTTGAGGTGTTGGGATGGAACTCAGGGACTTGCATATTTTTGGCAGCCACACTACCACTGAATTACCTCTCTAGCATGGTCCAGGCTTCTTTAGTTAGAAATGAGCCACAAGTCATTAGTGACTCAAGCCTCTCTTTCCCCAAATGGTCTCATAAACACATACCTGCTAGCTCACTAACAAGGCAGAACAGGTGCTTTATCCTCTTTCTCTCTGTTAGGAAAAGAGAGAATTCCTCCTTGTGGAGGAATTAAGAGCAAGCCTTGGAAAACATCATTAAAAGACAGATCTTTCCTTCACTTCACACCAATGCTCTGAGAGCCTATTAATATTAATGTTAGAGAGAGGAAGATTTGTGTAACTTTCAGGTGCTTAGGCTTACAAGGCTAATACCAACTCCCTTCTGGAAGACAGGAGAGATAACATTCTGTTGTTCAGTTAGGAGATTCCAAAAACTGGAGGTGGGTCATAGAAGGCTAAGGGCGGGAGAAAGGCCAAAGCAGATAGGATGGAGTTGGAAAAAGGTGTGAGATGGGAACCAAGGTGAAAGATCTCCAGGTAAGGCTGATTCACCAGTGACTACAAGCAACGTGACCAGAAATATGAAGACACTGTGTGTATATGTGTGTGTGCGTGTGCACGCGTGCACGTGTGCAAGTATGCATATGTGCATGCACAGTGTGTTATTTCCCCCAAATTCTGGGCTCTTCACATTTGTCCTTGGCCAATACATGCCTTCTCTCTAATAATACAATTTACTAACTCACCTTTCTAGACTTTTGCCTGAAAAAGTTCATTTCCCCACTCAAGTGGAGTTCTAAAAATTCCTTGTCCCTGTGTTGCCTCAGATTCTCAATTTTCCTCAAACAAAGGAGAAAAATAACTTTCCAGCACATTCTAAGATAATTAATATCAAAACCACTGGCCCAGCCATTTACCTCCCTTGAGTCCAGAAGACCAAAATAAATACCCTACAATGAACTTTCATCTCACAACTGTCAAAGATGATCCATGACTCTGCTCTTAACAACAAAAAATTACTCTTGGAATGAACAAAATTAGCCAATAGGGAGTTGCTTTGTTGTAGCCTGATTAGAAATACATTTAGGAGAAAGGTAATAGAATGGCTTAGGAAGAATCTGTAAATCATCATCACTCATAGAAAGAATGTTAGCGTGGCACAGTTCACGACACTCAAGGTTTCCCCTAGAAAGAAGGCAAGCAGCTTCCTCCTTGAAATTAACTGAACCAAACGTAGAATATCAATGAAAGATGCTATTAATCCTCTTGGTTAATTTGCAAGTCACAGTGGAAAGCAGTAGTTTGGAGGAGGACAGGAAATAAGCTGATTAATGGCTCATGGAGAGATCCTTGGTCTG